TTCAAAAAAATCTTGTTCACTTTTTTAAAACTTTTTCCTATCTTGTATATCATGTATTTCCTAAATTGGACCCTTAACTTAACACCACATACAAAGTCAACCCAAAATGGATTAAAGACTTAAATTTAAGACTTGGAACTGTAAGACTTCTACAAGAAAACAGGAGAAAAGCTTTACAATGGTCTTGGCAATGGTTTTCTGGATATGATACCAAAAGCATAAGCAGCAAAAAAGCAAAGTAGACAAGTGGGACTTCATCAAACTAAAAAGCTTCTACACTGCAAAGCAAACAGTCAACAAAGTGAAATGGCAACCTGTGGAATGGGAGAAGATTCTTTTAAATCATGTATTTGATAAGGAAATATACAAAGAACACCTAGAATTCATTAGCAAAAAAGAAACCTGAATAAAAAATGGGCAAAGAATTTGAATCGACATTTCTCTAAAGATGGCACACAAAGGGTCAGCAAGTATATAAAAAGATGCTCAACATCACTACTACTCAGAGAAACGAAAATGAAAACCACTATGAAATATTGTCTCACCTCTGCCAGGATGGGTATTATCAAAACACAAAAGATAGCAAGTGTTGGTGAGGATGTTGAAAAATTGGGAGCCCTTGTATACTTTTGAATTGGAATGTAGGGAGTTTACTCAAAGAATCAAAAATAAAACTGCCATGTGATCCAACATTCCCTCTCCAACAGAACTGAAATCAAGATCTCAGAGACATCTTCACTCCCATGTTCATTGCAAACATTATTAAAGAAGGAAATACTGCTATCTGTGACAAAGTAGATGGACCTATTAGACATTATACTATGTGAAATGTCAGTTACAGAATGACAAATACTATGAAATCCACTTATATGAAATATCTAGGATAGTCAAACTCATACAAGTAGAGAGCAGAATGGCTGAGGGAAGGGAGACATGGGAAGTTGCCATTCAACAAGTGTAAAGTTTCATTTATGCACGATGAGCAAGTCTACGTACCTGCTGTATGGTATTTGCCTATACTTAACAGTGCTGTAGCTGCTCTGTATAGGTGCTCTTACAAATCTAAGAGGTTAGAGCTCTGGTTAAGTGTTCTTAGCACAACGAAAAAAGTTTTGAACAAGAAATCGAGTTAAAATATTTCATAAATAAAATTATAACTTACTTTCATTTCGAATTTTATTAATCCACCCTTACCATGTAATGTTTTGTTGTACGATGAAATAGTTTCTCCACAGAATTTCTAGTCAGATTTTCTGACAGATCAGGAATGGGTAACAGTGATATGAAGGAGAAATATTAGGCCTCCATTTTCATTTAAATTCAGATTCGTTTGTTGCAATTTCACCATGTTCTACCTTTCATTACAAATTTTATCTTGGATGTAGGCAGCTCCCTATAGACCTCCCATTGATATAAATCGGCTTGTCTTCCTTTGATCATAGCAACATTTATTGAGAATATTTAATGTGACAAACACCTTAAAAGCATTATCTTCCCCTGTTATTTCAGTCCTCTGAGATAGGAACTCTCATTATCCCTATTTTGCATATTAGAAGATCAAGCCTCAAGAGGTTAAGCAATGAGCCCATGGTGATACTCCTCCTTAGAAGCAGAGATGGAACACAAGATACCATTTCAGAACATTTAGAGAAAAATAAAAAGGGAATTACAATACAGCTCTCTCATTGTTGGTTTCTTTTCAGAAGTAAGATCTATAACTTTGGATTAGAATATTCATGTTGTCTCGAGGTTATTTTTTCTTCAAGTCACAACTATTCCCAGTCAATAATAATCACTGAAATATTTAGATGTAAGTTTTAGCAGTACAGTTCATAGGGTCAATCATGATATTTTACCCTATTCAGTCATCAAAGATACAGTCTCACAGATGAAGTCATCCTTCCAGGATTGGAGGGAAAAAATTTGTGTCTTTGATATTTTGTGTTTCTTCCCTTGAAATTGGTCTTCAGCAATAAATTGTAAATGGACAACACACATCTGAAAGAATGTTAATATAAGATAAATACAATGAAACTGAGGAATAAAGTATTTTTTTCACCTTTGAGTTTAGTAAATTAAGGACTCATAATCCATGTTGGTAAGAAAATGGGCAAGCACTCCTTGAGGGTGGGTGTATAAAAGGAAATAATAATTGTAGAGGGCAATTTGCCAAGAACTCTGTAAACTTTGGACATAGCTATTCTACTTCTAAGAAAATTTCCTATATCTCAATTTTTCAAATAAATGAGAAAGGCTACTACTGAAACCACATACAAATTGTGTGACTTGGGATGGTTAAACTATCATACTCTTTCTTAACCCCCTTATAAATTGGAGCTTTTAGTACAATCTAGCTTAAGTGTTGTATGCAGTAATCGTTAAGTGATAAATTTGATCTAGCATCCATAATTTTGCTATAATCTTAAAAAATAAAATGTTTCTTACCTTTAACTAACTTTATTTTTAAGTTGCAAAAGTTGTATATATTTGTTAGAACATGTAAAACAGTATGAGATGCATAAATTTCCTCCCCTCACCCCAAGTTGTGGAGCTCAATACATATATATAATATCCAGAACATACAAAGGAGTTTCTCAATAATAACTGAACTAAAAGATGGGCAAAAAACTTAGACAACTCACAAAATAAATGTGCAAATGATAAGTACAGGAAAAGATGTTTAGCAACCCTTATCATTCGGGAAATACAACTTAAAACTACAAGATACTACTGTGTATCTGTTAAAATGGCTTAAAAATACTTAACACTATCAAATACTGGTGAAGATGCAGGGAAACAGAATTACTCATAGATCAGTGCGAATACAAAAATGGTAAGGCCACTGTGGAAACTGGTGAGCAGTTTTTAAAGAAGGTATACTCTTACCATATGACCAAGCACTAACACTCTTAGGCATTATATGAGAAATATGAAAACAATTTATCACAAAAACCTCGACACTAACGTCACAGAAGCTTAACCTATAATCACCAGTAATGTGAAACGGCATAATGCCCTTGTTATATGATACACTGAACTGTTCTACATCACGAAATGGAATACTCAGCAATAGAAGTAATAGACTATTAATATATGCAATGACTTGGCTGGGTTTTAAGGGAATTATGTCTGAAATAAAAAATATAAAAATCTCAGAAGTTTATATGCTAAATGATTCCATTTATATAAAGTTCTTGACATGAAAAGAAAGTAGAGAGAGATGGAGAGTGGTCACCAGGAGTTAGGGAAAGGAAGGATAGATGGGACTGACTATCAAGAGCCACGTGAGGGGTTTGCTTTGAGGAAACAGAACATCTCTGTATCTTGATTGCAGTGATGGGCATATAAATCTACACATAGGAGAAAATGCCATAGAATTATACTTGAAAACATAAGAAGAATGACACCTGCTAACGTAGTGAAATCTGAGGAAGGTCTGTAGTCTGGCTTATGGTATTGTTCCAATCGACTTCCTTGTTTGGATAATGCACTGTGATCATGTTGGGGGTGGCTGCATGATGGGTAGATGGGACCACCCTGGACTGCTTTTGCAACCTCTTGTGAGTTTATATCAACATTTAAAAGAGTTAGCTTTTTTTTTAAAGCTCAGCAAATCTTAATAATAAAAACTAAAAAAATTTAAAACCCTACCCAGACACATAATCAAACTGCTGATTATCAGAGGTAAGGAAAACAAATCTCAAAACAGTGTACTAGGTGCTTTAACCTGTGTCTGCTACCTTCACAATCTCTGGTATTTTAGGTAACACACTCTCCTCTTTGAAGATGAGGGCACTGACCCAATGTGTGCAAAGCTGCTAAGAGTTGGTAAAGAATTTAAGCCTGGTTCTACTCTACTGAAGTCCAATTATTTTGTGTACATATGTAAACCTTTTCAACACAGCTTCCTAATTAATCAAGAACATAGTATACATACTGAGTATAAGTATATGCCCCTTACTGCTTCAGTATAAACTCAGAGGAATATTGTGTGCTACTCCTTTCTAGGCTATACCATTTCAGTGATTAAAAAGGAAGAAATGTTAAAGCTAATTTGCATATCCATTAAGATATGTTAGATTACAAACAACAGTAAATGACTCAGGCTAATTGAGATGAAACAAAGATTTATTGAAGGGTTAGTAACGATGCTTAGTTAAAGTAACAGCTAAAACAGCCAAGTCCTTCAAAAGAGAGGAGCTGAAAATAAGTCCAGTAGTAGTGGCTCATAGACCTTAATTTGAGTTGCAGACAAAAGATAAGCTATTAGCACAGGTTGGCCCAACACAGATATGTATGAAGAGACTTGAGAACACAGAAGTAGAACTCAGCAGTGGCCCCTGCCTCCCTGCCAGGGACGAGCAGGAGCAGGAACTTCTTTCCACGGGTCTCCTGCATGTGTGGCACTCCCAGCATTCTGTGGGCTCCGCCTGGCTGTGTGTGGCTATCTTCTCCAGAGCCGGCCACCACATGTTCCCGGGATAACAGGGAACAGCTCCAGAGGCTCAGGCCAGGCCAGGCCAGCCCTGCCTGTTGCTGTGGTGCTCACGAGAAGTGCAGCGCTCTCGTCAGACTGCAGGGCTGTGTCGGACGCCTTCATTTGAAATCTTCAGGCCAGTAGGTCTAGGTTGCTCTGAAGGAACCAAAACAGAAGGGGATCCATTCAATGAGAAAGGCAGCTCTTATTTCAGTGACAAGTGTTCAGCCACTCTCAGGATTTCCTGCATGATTTAGAAAGCTGAGGACCCTTTCCAGGTTCCATTCTAACTGTGACTTTTGGAACGTGGAGAAGCAGCCCTTCATTTGTCCCTCTAACTAAAAAGACACACTCTCTTTATTGGCTTTACAATGTCTCTTCAGCTTTGTCTATGTTTAACTCCTCCACTGGCTGCTGAGAGAACAAGACACTTGGTGCTGTAATAGTAAGAAGATGATGTGAGGACTGTGAAGCATCATAAGAGCACATGGGTGTCCCTCCAGGAAGCAACATGTTAAACTGAGAAATGGTCCACTGCAAAAGCATCACCTTTTTCTCCCTCCTTCCCCAGTTACACTTGACACTTTAAGGAAGTGGCCAGAACTACTACATCTTGGTATATACCTAGGGATATTTTTCCTAGGGGGAAAAAAAGAAAGGATTACATGGTTTGTTTCTCTCAAGTGGTTGCAACTGCTAAGCAGTCTCCTCTCAGGTATGGGAATCACATAATGGAGTTTGGGATCCCACTCACACCCAGGAAAAGGGTAGAACCAACCCTCAAGGACAGAAGGCCTGGCTCTGCCGTCATCCTGAGCCTTGTGACTCCCCTGGCCTTTGATACCGAATCCCAAGTATCCCTGAGATGTGCTCTCACCCCTGGGACCCTCACCTCTTCTGCAGCTGGTCCCTTTTAATAGTTTCCACTTCCAGCCAGTTTCCTGTTCTCAGCCGTAGTGGTAGCGATGCTAGACTGGTGCTCCTTGTTCTTTGGTTTGCATGAGGACGCCTTGGTCTTCTGCATGGTGTGATCTGCCTTCTTGTCCCTCGTCTTCAGGAGAGCAGTGGAAACTATTAAAAGGGGCGCTCCGCTCCTGTTCCTGCGTGGTGGTAGGGAAGGTGGTGGATACATTGAAACAGAGTGGGTATCATGGCTGCTAAGAGATGAAGGCCCTCAGTAGAGTCTGGACTACTTCACTTCTACTTTCCTAGGGCCTGGAAAAGTCTACATACTCACAGGAGGATGTCTTCCTGCCAAAGTGTTCTTCGGTCTACCATCTAAGTGGTCTCGCATTGATACTCCTTGTCCTCCTTGTCCTCTTCTTTCTTATTCTTATTCAGCCAAGCCAAGGCATGCTGGAAAACATGGCAGCTGAAGCCCTCACGGACCGCATTGTCCACGTGGTCCTGCAGGACCTCCAAGCTGGGGAAAACCCGGCAGCAGCCCAGGCACCTGAAGCCGCTGTCCAGGGCCACCAGCCACTCAGGCGTCTCGGCCCTGGGGCTCTCCTCCTGGGCTGGAGGCTCCACTGCACTGCCAGCCTGCTCCCCCTCCTCCTGTGCTGGAGGCTCCACCGCACTGCCAGCCTGCTCCATCTCCTCCTGGGCTGGAGGCTCCCCTGCACTGCCAGCCTGCTCCCTCTCCTGGGCTGGAGGCTCCACTGCACTGCCAGCCTGCTCCCTCTCCTCTGGGGCTTTGCTATAGTCGCTGACATCTGCGAGTTGCCGTGTAGACAAGCAGCTCCATATGTCTGAGGCCTCTTCACCCTTTTTTTCAGCCTCTCCAAAAAAAGCAAAGACAGGCTCATAGACTTCCACCTCATCCCATGACACAGCCACACCTCTTTTCATCTGGACACGCCTGTAGTAAATCTTCTTGACGCGTGCCCTTCCCAGGTATGGTGGAAAGGAGTCTTCGGTAGAGAGGGAGGGAGCTTCCCGTTCCTCCAAGACCTGGGGTTGAGTCATCTCAAGAGGCCCAGTACGAAGAATATCCTGATGCAACTGAGGGATTCCTCCTCCTCCTCCTCCTGGGAAAGGAAATTTCAGACATGAGAAAACTAGAATGAGTGTGTGAAGTCTGCAGGAGTTGAGATGGTCATGAGAATATTCCTATGTGGGCATATGGCCTGGAAGTACACACATATGTGAAATCACAGAATGCCGTGTGACACACATTTTATCTGAGGTATGTGTGTGGTGTGATTATGTGGGATTGAGGGTGTGGAGGTCTGTGTGTGTTCTGGGACACACCTGGTGAGTGCTTCTGACATTGGTAAGAGGGTGGTGAATGACGGTGTACATGTGTGTGGTGCGACAATATGAGTGAACAGGGGTGGTACGTGTTCTTACTGTGAAACAGTTAAATACGGAGCATGTTGGAGGAAGTGTGTTTCAGCTTCCCAGAAGCGCAGCTCTCTAAGGGGCTGAAGGCTTTGGGCTGAAGGTTTTGTGGGTGAAGTGGTATGCGGAATAGAAAGCCTGTATATGACAGTGAATTCATTTCAGGGCCTATGAGTTTTTGAGTGCTTAGGCTGGCTCTAATGGGGAAGCCAGAACAAGTTACCTGTGTGAAAGGGTGTACATTATTTACAGGTTACTGTGTAGACAGCAGCGTCTGAGAATGATTGTGTGAGGAGGGAAGGTGGCAGTGTGTATCTGTGTAACGCTCGTAGAGGATGGGAAGGATGCATTTGGAATGAAGGGATGTGTATATGAGAGAAAAAGTGAAAGGAAGGAATAGTGGGGCCATATCTGGTATGAAGGAATCTAGGGTGTGTGTGTGAATGAGTTTGTGTTGACCTGAGGGAAGAGGTAATTGAATTGCCACACTGTTATCAGCACAGCCCACTATCTCACAGGTGTCCCAGTGTTCACATGGGGAACTGCCCTATCCTTGAAAGCACACCCCCAATTTATCCCTCTGCAGAGGCTTCAATCTTAGTTCCTCTGCCCTGAAGCTCTTTTCTGTTTTTGAAGGGAAAGTGAAGTAAGTAGGGATTGGGCTGAGCCACCCTAGCTATTCATCCTGTCCAGCCTTTGTGATCTCCCTTACCGTCCTCAGCAGCAGCACGATGCTTTCCTGGAGACGACACGCAGGAGAAATACTCCGAGACAGAGGACTCTCCTCCTGGTGTCTGACTGCGGTCTGGGACCACCACACGTGCCTCTGGCTCCGGAGAATCCTCTTGAGAATTCTCGAATTCTGAGGAATGAATACAAGAAAAACAGGTGGAGCGTTTTCTAGAATCTGTATCCATTCAAAAAAGACATGTTGAGTGGATAATCACATTAGGCACTGAAACCCCTCCCATGAAATTAAACATTTGAAACTTTACTTGCTCCAAAATATAAGGAAACAGCAATTATGAAAATTGGGGTGTATAGATGTCAGTGATACTGGGTATTTTGTATGTGATATTTCTAAAGATGTATACAGAATATCAAAAACTAGTGACTAAAATTCGATACTAGCTCCTTTTTCCTCAGGAGAAATTATATAATTAGAGGACATGGGGTACAAGTTTTAAAAGACTTCTGCATGTCTGCCTGCCTGCCTGTCTATCTAGATTGGTATCTATATTGATGTAGGGAAAGATAGGGATTTCAATATAAATATAGAGAGGTGTAGAGATACAGCATTTTCGCAGGGAATTCCACCATGGCTTCTGGAGATGTTCTAATGAAGACTTTACACACTTGCTCCAGACTCCTCTTCTGGGAATGTATTTCTGTATTTCTCCAAGACTCTTAGCCTCCCCATTCACATCTTTTGAAAACCTCTTTCAAAGGAGGCAGACACATCCATGTGCTATATTTCTGTCCGGGGATTGGAAACGGACAGCCCGGGCAGTTCTTGGGCAAGGGGTCACTTATGGCCCTGCTGAGGGAAGGGACTCAGTTCTGAGCCTGGGCCATTGCGTTGCCCCGTCTCCCTGCCTGGCTCCTCCTCAGCCCCTTCTCGCTCTCAGCCCACACCACGGTGACTCAGACTGTCTCCAGCAGACGTGGGGCAGTGTGGAGTGTGTGCCAGGCTGGGGAGCATGAGCTGCCAGTGACTGCAAGGAAGAAAAGCCTTTCTCCCAACCTGTGTGGAGTGTGTGCCAGGCTGGGGAGCATGAGCTGCCAGTGACTGCAAGGAAGAAAAGCCTTTCTCCCAACCTGTCCTTTTCCTGGACTTCATTTCACGGCTTTCAGAGGGGGACTGGGCCCTGGGTCGGGAGCGCGCTTCCTCCAGAGCTATGTAGTTCTGACCATGTGACTAAGTTTTCTGTAGTGGGAAATGAGTGGCAGCCAGGCATACGCATGCAATCCTCCTCTGTGCGCTCCTGTGTTCTTTCCTTTTCTGGGATGTTGATAACCTTGGGTCTATTTGAAAGTGAGTGTTAATTATAAAAAAGTTTCTGTCAGCAGGAAGACTTGCCCTGTTCCTTCACATACACTAATTGTTATATAAGAAATAGATTACTTCATGTATTAGTTACTAAGGCCTCTTCTAGTCCAACTAATGAATCTACTCCGTTAGTGATAAAATGAATTTTGAGAAGCAAATAACTGGACCTGGTACGTATTAACCAAGCCATTATCTTAGAAACTACTCTGTGTCTTCCCTTGGCTTATTTATGCTATATATGTGTGTAAGTGTGAATTGGTGTGAATGTGTCTTATGTGTCATAGTTTACAGTAAAAAATATCTCTGAACATGCACTGTTTGTAGTGAAGCTGAGTTGAAGACAGACTCACTTTCCAAGCCTCTCTCCTAGGCTCCACTGGAGTGTGCTAAAATCCCAAACATTGTTGGAAATGTCACATTCTCTTCATAAGCTACCACTGGGACCCTCGGTTTCGGTCCTGATCTGTCCCCTCCCACTACTGATCACCTGCTCTTCCTCATAGGACTTGTTTACTTTTTAAAACCTCACAGTCATCACAACTATTTCAGTTTCCCCTTTTTCCAGAAAGAGCCACATGCATCAGAGCAGACCACTGATGGGAGGAGGCCCTTTTACCCAACACAAACTCTACCATCAACTTGAATTTTTAATCTTGCACTTCATAACAAAATGTGAGAACCAATGATATGGATTAAATGAAAGACAATTACTTTATATATCTAGGGTAACCACATTACTACATCTCCCCAAGGGTGAGGATAAGGCATTACCTGAGAGAACCAGGTCTAGACCCATGCCTGCCCCATAGAACATGGTAATCGTTGTATCTTAGCAGTACCATATAACAAAGTTGTATGTGAGGTGCATATGTATAGTGGGTTTGTGAACACCTTGTGATTCCATACAGCTCCTACATTTATTGAATTTTCTCCGCTATAGAGAACAGGCTCATGTGTTTTAACAACCCATTGTCTCTTTTGAAACTCTTTTCCCTGTCACTTCTCCAGAGCCTTCAGGGAAAGAGGAAGCCCCTGGCTTTACATCCCATGGCCTTCATCATGACTCCTGAGCTTGTCAAGCATGAAGTCTTCATGCCCCAGCTTCTGTTCTAGGCCCCCGTCTCCTGGAAACCAAGGGGCTCTGCACAGGGTTTGAACTCTAGTTATCTGCATTCTGCTCCTAAATTCCCACTGACTGGCTCCTCCCTGAGGGGAAGTATGTATTTCCTTAAAATTTAGCAGTTGTTCTAGAGCCAGGCCATGATCCAGCCAGCTTCAGCCTTCTTTACCTCCAGTAGGTCCTCCCTCATCATGGTGTTCCCCCCAAATGGGCTCAGCCTCTTGCAGCCACTAAACAGTAGGCACATTTCCCAAGATAGTCTCAGCCTTGTCAGCTGATATGTAAGTGAGACAGGGTTCCAAAGCATTCTGACACGTGCATCAGAGCAAACCACTGATGGGGGGATCCCTTTTACCCAACACAGACTCTACCATCAATTTGAATTTTTATCTTGCACTTTATATCAAAACTTGAGAACCAATGATATGGATTAAACAAAAGACAATTACTGTATGTATCTAGGGTAACCACATTACTAAATCTCCCCAAGGGTAAGGATAAAGCATTACCTGAGAGAACCAGGCCTAGACCCATGGAAAAATGCAAACCAAAACTTAAATACTATTTTACACATACCAAGTTGGTAAAAATTAGATCGAACTATACAAATGATTGTAAGGATATGGGTAAAAAAAAAAAAGAACCTTCATGATATAAAATGAAGTATTGACCTCTGTAGCTGTGTTGGAGAACAATTAGCCAATATTTTATGAAAGTAAATAAGGATATAACCTATGAGCCTATAATCTCATTCTATAATGGTATCTTTACAAGGGTGATATTCATAGCATTATTTATGCTAGGAGGGAGGTGGTATTTTAGTTTCTAACTCAAGAAGAATGGATAAGGAACATATGATTGGCATGAACAACAGAATACATTTCCAAGAATAGAAGCCAAGCCCATTAAACTGTATGCCTGGGCAGGGCATCAGGAAGGAATTGGAGATCAGAAACAAAAAGAAAACATAAATCAATAAAATAACCATAAGCTAGTGACTAAGGAGAATTATTAAGTTAGTTGTCAATAAACATTAAAGAGGGAAAAAGAAAATCTTTGCGAAAAGTAAAAGGGTTCAGATAAGGTCTAGAACTAAGGATTATTCTGAAGATAACCTATAGTATTAGCTTCCTATGGCTGTTACAGCAAATTACCACCACCTTAGTGGCTTAAAATACAAATTTATTATTTTACAGTTTTGGAGATCAGAAATCCATTATGGGTCTTACTGCCTAAAATCAAGATGTTAGCAGTATTCGTCCAATCTGGAGGGTGTAGGGGTGAATCTGTTCCCTTTTCCAGGTTCTAGATGCTGCCTGCATTGCTGGTTCACCTTCATTTCCTTCATCTTTAGGACATATCACTCCAACATCCACTTCCACTGTCACATGGCCTCTCTCTCTCTCTCTCTCTCTCTCTCTCTCTCTCCCCCCTACTTCCCCCCATAAGGACTCTTGTGATTACATCATCCCCACACAGGTAATCCAGGATAATCTTCCCCTTTCAAAATCTTTAAATAAATCCCATCTAAAAAGGCTCTTTTGATAGTTGCAGTAACATATTCACAGGTTTCAGGGATGAGGAGGTTGACTTCTTTTCAAGGGGGTGAGTGGAGAGAGATTTTCTCAGCTCCCAGACCAAGAGAAATACAGAGGGTCAGAATAAGTTCACCAGTAGTAAAATACAGCAGGCTGAGTAAGAATGGGAATCCCTAATTAAACAAGAGCAATAAGAAAAAAAAGAGAGCATAGCAACTAGGTAAACATATTGAGAAAAACAAAGCCGAATGAAATAAAGAAAAAAGCCCCTGTTTGAAATTAAATGTAACCCAAGGAATAGACAAACACATCCATTAGAATCCTTTATGCTATAGAACTGGCGGGTCAAGACAAGATGACAAGCCAAAACACAGAACTAAAAATGGAAAGCTGAGAGGGGAAAAAAAACTCTAAACAAGGTCAAAATGGGATAAGTAAACAAATTAAGACCAGGAAGAAACAGAATAACAGAATAAAGCTTCAAACTGGAAAACTGACATACCCACTTGAGAGCAGTAAAAGGGAAGGCAAATTATACAATTAATGAGAAGATAATAGATAAAAGAAAGGTGAAATGATGTAACAATAGAAAGGTTAGCTAATAAATCAGACAATTATGCAAGATTATGTGCCTCTTGGCCATCTGAATTTCTTCTTTGGAGAAGTGTCTGTTCGGATCCTCTGCTTATTTTTTAATCGGGTTATTTGCTTTTTGGTGGTTGAAGCACTTGAAGTCTTTACATATTTTGGATATCAACCCCTTATCAGATATGTCATTTATGAATATATTCTCCCGTACTGTGGGATGCCTTTTTGTTCTACTGATGGTGTCATTTGCTGTACAGAAGCTTTTTAGTTTGATATAGTCCCACTTGTTCATTTTTGCTTTTGTTTCCCTTTCCCAGGGATATAGGTTCAGGAAAAAGTTGCTCATGTTTATATTCAGGAGATTTTTGCCAATGTTTTTTTCTAAGAGTTTTATGGTTTCATGACTTACATTCAGGTCTTTGATCCATTTTGAGTTTACTTTTGTATATGGAGTTAGACAGTAATCCAGTTTCATTCTCTTACATGTAGCTGTCCAGTTTTGCCAACATCAGCTGTTGAAGAGGCTGTCATTTCCCCATTGCATATCCATTGCTCCTTTATAATATATTAATTGATCATGTATGCTTGGCTTAATATCTGGACTGTCTATTCTGCTCCATTAGTGTATGGGTCTGTTATTGTGCCAGTAGCAAATTGTCTTGATGACTGTGGCTTTGTAGTAGAGCTTGAAGTCAGGGAGCCTAATCCCCCCTGCTTTATTCTTCCTTCTCAGGATTGCTTTGGCTATTCGGGGTATTTTGTATTCCATATGAATTTTAGAATTTTTTGTTGCAGTTCATTGAAGAATGCTATTGGTATTTTGATAGGGATTGCATTGAACCTGTAGATTGACTTAGGCAGATGGCCATTTTGACAATACTAATTCTTCCTACACAAGAGCATGGGATGAATTTCCATTTATTAGTGTCCTCTTTAATTTCTCTCAAGAGTGTCTTGTAGTTTTCAGAGTATAGGTCTTTTACTTCCTTGGTTAGGTTTATTCCTAGTTATTTTATTCTTTTTGATGCAATTGTGAATGGAATTATTTTCCTGATTTCTCTTTCTGCTAGTTCATTGTTAGTGTATAGGAGTGCAACAGGTTTCTGTGTATTAATTTTGTATCCTGCAACTTTGCTGAATTCAGATATTAGATCTGGTAGTTTGTGAGTAAATTATTTAGGGTCTCTTATGTCTAATATAATGTCATCTGCAAACAGGGACAGTTTGACTTCTTCCTTACCAATCTGGATGCATTTTATTTCTTTGTGTGCCTGACTGTCATCGCTAGGACCTCCAGTACTATGTTGAATAAAAGCGAGGAGAGTGGGCATCAATGTCTTGTTTCCGATCTTATAGGAAAAGCTTTTAGCTTTTCACCATTAAGTATGATGTTGGCTGTGGGTTTGTCATATATGGCCTTTATTACATTGAGGTGCTTGCCCTCTATACCCATTTTGTTGAGAGTTTTTATCATGAATGGATGTTGAATTTTGTCAAATGCTTTTTTAGCATCTATGGAGATGATCATGTGGTTTTTGTCTTTCTTTTTATTGATATAGTGGATGATGCTGATGGATTTTCGAATGTTGTACCATCCTTGCCCTGGGATGAATCCCACTTGATCATGATGTGTGATCTTGATCTATTTTTGAATTCGGTTTGCTAATATTTTGTTGAGTATTTTTGCATCTATGTTCATCAGGGATATTGGTCAGTAGTTTTCTTTTTTTGTGTTGTCATTGCCTGGTTTTCGTATTAGAGTGATGGTTGCTTCATAGAATGACTTTAATAGTATTCCCTCCTCTTCTATTTTTTGGAAAACTTTAAGGAGAATGGGTGTTATGCCTTCTCTAAATGTCTGATAAAATTCAGCAGTGAAGCCATCTGGTCTGGGAGTTTTCTTCTTCTGTAGATTTTTGATTACCAATTCAATTTCATTGCTGGTAATTAATTGGTCTGTTCAGACTTTCTGTTTCTTCCTGGAGCTTATAAGGTTGTATTTTTCTAGAAAGTTGTCCATTTCTTCTAGGTTATCCAGTTTGTTAGCATATAATTTTTCATAGTATTCTCTCATAATTCTTTGTATTTCTGTGGTGTTCATAGTGATTTTTCCTTTCTCATTTCTGATTCTGTTTATGCGTGTAGATTCTCTTTTTCTCTTTATTAGTCTGGTTAGGGGTTTATCTATTTTGTTTATTTTGTCAGAGGAGGTGAATACATTTAAAATTATATTAATATATTCATTTAAGAAAGGAAAATGTATTCCTACATATTGTCTGTCACAGCACTCAAAAATAACTTTATTGTTTTTGTTTTCAAGCCTGAATCTCTGATATTTGTTAAAAACTTAGTCAAAAGTTGATCTTCTAAACATATTCATGTTTCTTACATAGCATAGCCAGATTTATCAATTTCTTCTTAGAGTGGAAGGACACATTTTAATTTTAATGTTGATGTTTCTTTCACATGGAGCAACATGCAACTACTGAAAAAAGTCTTCAACATTGGAATACATGTGTCAGAGATTCACTGTAATCCCTTTCAAAAGTA